GAAGCTATTTTGCCTCGTTTTTTTGCTCCTCACGACACATTCGCGTCGAGCTTTCCTGCAGAGGCTCCACTGTGCACTGGGCACGTTTGAGGAAGGAGCACTGTGGGGCCAAGTCGTGCCAGTCGGAAGAGAACTGTGGCTTGAATAGTGCACCGCCACATATGCTAGAGTCACAAGGCTCCTTTGGTCGATATAAAAGTGGGGCCATTGGCGTGGGGTGGCTTTCTCACTGTTCACAGCAGCAATGATGCCGAACGAATGCAGTGTCGTTCGAGAGATACGTCTTACGTAGGAGAATGGAAGAAAGCCGAAGAAAAAGACGCAGTGTGCTGTGGCGTACATAGATGCAATTGGCGATGAGCGACGACGTCTACGACGGGGTGTCCAATAACACGGGGAAGCTTCCCTGACGTGTACCAGTACTTTTGCGCTGGTGGTAACAAGCGTGTCGGCTAAGTACTAGTACGCACTGGTGTCTGATGGCGCGAGCCGACCTCCGGAGCAACAGTCAGAATTTTAGTATTTTCTTGCACTCTCCTCTCTGCATCGACGTCGCCAAACCACCCCCTTACCCACGCGTGACTCACAGCGTGACTCAGATCACAGACGACATCCCGCGGCAAGCAGTATCGGCGCCCATTAATACGATTTACAGCCCGTGTCTTTGTTTTGTGCTGTTTGGACACTATTCTTGCTTCTCATCTTTGTCTCTTCATCCTTTTTTCCAGTCCATTCTCTCGCCTACTTTGTCGCAACCGAGATCTTCTTCCGATCAGCCGTCCGCTCCGCACGCATTTGCGACTATGGCTTCGGATGGCGTTGCCGCCAACGGCACGTCCCAGCCACACTATGGTCAGTAGCTACGAGAACCCTCCACTTCACCTCCACAAGCACACCGCACGCTCCCAGACCAGCTGCTGAATACCTGCAAGAAAGAATCTCAGCGCAGCCCGAAAACCCGTTTGCGAGCCTGATTCCCGACCAGCAGATTGCCATTGTGCCCGCATTCGACCTCGAGTCCGGCGTGACGCTCCGCAATGTCCCCGTCGCCTACACGACCCGCGGCACGCTCAATGCGGCCCGCGACAACGCCATGGTCATCTGCCACGCGCTGACGGGCAGCGCCGATGTCAGCGACTGGTGGGGCCCGCTGCTGGGCGGGCCCGGCCGGGCGTTTGACGTGTCGCGCTTTTTTGTGATTTGCGTAAACAGCCTGGGCAGCCCCTACGGCAGCGCCAGTCCCGTGACGGCCAAGGACGGCGATGCTGGCCGCGGCCGGTACGGCCCCGAGTTCCCGCTGACGACGATCCGCGACGACGTGCGGCTGCACAAGATGGTGCTGGACGATTTGGGCGTAAAGCAAGTGGCGGCCGTGATTGGCGGGTCGCTGGGCGGCATGTTCGTGCTGGAGTGGGCCTACCTGGGCGCCGACTACGTGCGGTGCGTGGTGCCGATTGCGACGAGCAGCCGGCACAGTGCGTGGGGCATCAGCTGGGGCGAGGCGCAGCGGCAGAGCATCTACGCGGATCCCAAGTACGAGGACGGCTACTACCCCTTTGACGACCCGCCGGTCACCGGGCTGGGGGCGGCGCGCATGTCGGCGCTGCTGACCTACCGCAGCCGCAACTCCTTTGAGGCGCGCTTCGGCCGCAACATTCCAGATCCGAAGCGGCAGCAGCTGATCTTGGAGCGCGAGCGGGCGCAGGCGGCGACGTCGTCTGCCTCCTTGTCGTCGGCATTGGCACCGTATACGCTGCCGCCCGCGTCGCCGTCTGAGGGCCATTTCCGCATCCACAACGACGGCCACCGGATCAAGGAGGCCAACCGGTTCCGGGCTACGTCGGCCGCGTCGTCGGCATCTGGCGGCGGCGGCGGCGGCGGCGGCGGCAAGACGGAGGGCAACGAGTCGAGCGGTGCGGCCACTCCAGACCCGCAGTTCCACGGCCCAAGCGCCGTCGACGACGCTACCGCGGCGGCGGCGGTGGGCGCCAAAGAGAGCCTGACAGGTGGATCGGCACCGCCGACGTCGACCTACTTCTCGGCGCAGTCGTACCTGCGCTACCAGGCGACCAAATTTGTCAAGCGCTTTGACAGCAACTGCTACATTGCCATGACGCGCAAGCTGGACACGCACGACGTGTCGCGCAGCCGGGCCGACAGCGTGGCCGAGGCGCTTGCGCTGATCAAGCAGCCGACGCTGGTGTTGGGCATCGAGAGCGACGGCCTGTTTACGTTTGCCGAGCAGCAGGAGCTGGCAGAGCACATCCCCGACTGCCGGCTGGAGCGCATTGACAGCCCGGAGGGCCACGACGCGTTCCTGCTGCAGTTTGAGCAGGTCAACCGCTACATCCTTGCGTTCCTGCGCGAGGTGCTGCCCGACATTATGAACCGCCCAGGCCTGGCGCGCACGGACGAGGGTGCCGTTGGCGGCGCCGACGCAGCGGACGGCACCCAGAGCACGAGCGGCGGCAACGAGGCCAGCTCGGTGGGCAAGCTGACGAAGTCGAGCACCTTTGGCGAAGCCGAGGTGGACGACATTACGGCATGGTAGTTGTGCGGCCCGAGGAGAGGGAATTCCCCGAGACAGTTGACAACTGTTATTGTCTCCGCCTGCACTTGAAACACGCTCATAGAATATAAACTAAAATTGGAAAATGAATATGCGTCCCAGAGAGCTCGGATGCGTAAAGTCCAGGTAACAGGACTTCCACGTGCTCCGGAAAGTTGAGGTGCCACTATCGGCATCGGACATGTCGTTTAACCTTTGGCCGGCCGTGCCAAGACACATAGTTCAGAAAACCAAGACGACCTTGCCAGACATGGAACCGGCGAAGCAGTCGAGGCAGTCTTCACGGCCCCTGTCGAAAAAACGCCCCCTGTCATTGACACAATGATTTCTGCTACCGCCAGGCGAGCGCTCCTTCCTGGCGCGCATGCGTCTGCTCTTGCCATTTTTAAGTGAGTTTTGCAGCCCACTTTTCCCGCCCTGGAAGCTACCGCGAGTTCCGTACCGAGCTAGCGAGATCCATGTGCACGATCTCTGCGCTGTGATTGGCCGACTTGCGCGTGTAAGTAAACGTTACCGAGAGGACCACAGGAGGCAACTCGAGGCTCGAGGCCGTCTGAGGCTCCCTGTCCGCTGTCAACTTTCAACCGTCGTGCCTATTGAGTGTGAGTGTTGCTCCGTTGGCCCTCTTTTTTATTCTTTTTTTTTTTTTTTTTTTTTTTTTTTTTTTTTTGAATGAATCCCTGACCTTGCCCCCATCCCCGGCCGTGTTCTGTTCCTGACCGGCTAACTGGTGGCAATCCACGTGGGAAGCAACATTTGGACGAGAATGAAGACTTCTTGAAGCTAGGAACAGTATGACAAAGGTCGTAGTGGCCTGGACTCTTGGTCGAGTACGACGTACCCCGTAATTCGTACTAGAGAGACAATACTGTGTAGGTGTGAGGCAATAAAGGGCAAAACACGCCCAAGAGGTGGACGAGAGCTGGGCAAAATACGACGGCAGACGAATGCATAAACAAAGAGGTGAATGTCGTTCTCGTGTATTTCAGTGTGTCAAGTTATTGTGTGTCAAGGCTGCCTAGCTGGCAGGTGGCCGGCTGTCGAAAAAGGAAAGAAATTCACTGCGGAAATAAGTAAGCCGGCTCTCGCCTTGTCTCGGTGACTGGATTTGCGACCTTTCCAGCTGACCGACACACGGAATATTGGAACAGGTCACGGGAAAGGCAACAGAGCTGTTGATCGCAGAAAACAAGAAAGGGACGTAAAAAAGACACATAAAAGAACAGGACGAAAAATCGATGTAACGAAAGGTGTTAAAGGCAAAGGACAAGACAGGAGCAAGACAAAGATGAAAAGACAAAGAAAATGCCATGCACGACCTCACCACCTTACCATTGCACAATGCCCCCATGAGCTCTTGGCCCGTTTCATAGCAATGCGACATCCTCGACAGAAACAGCATAGAGTCTGTTCGCAAGGACGGAGTGAAGGAGTCCATTCGTCTGCTCTCCTGCTCCAACCCATCCTCCTCCACTCTCTTCGACCTCTACCAACCCACCGGCTACCGTCTGTGATCTTCGTCGTCACTCCACGACGGTCCATGCAGGCACGTTCCTGGCCACCCTTGACCATCCGCGCATCCTAGTCTGCTTTTCTTTCCACTTTGTCTCGTTTCCTCTTTCCTCATTCCTCAGCCCACCCCCACTCACATCATGCACTTTGCAAGCTCTGGACGACCCTTTTGCATAGTTTGTTTGACTTTTCGACTCCTTCTCTATCCGTAGTACTGCTTTCTTTTTGAGTCCCTTCTCGAGTCTTCGCCCCTAGGCTCCTATACCCTCGAGCTCTGCCAGCCAATACCCTGCCCCCGTCTGCCCTGTGGCCTTGAATTCGCCTTTGAGACTCTCGCCATCACGCTATAAGGATTTGCCAGCCACACGTTTGTCAACCCAAAGTCCCACACTCCACATGTACGTCGTAGATGCGTTTAGATGTATGCTGTATTTGCACCGCTGTTGCCCGCCCACGCATATGTGTCACGCCCGTGGATCCTAGCTTCTCTTGGCTTGGACCTGTGCCCTGATCCAGTGCTTCTATTTCCGCACCAGCGATCGCCTCTTTGGCTTGTCGCTAGTCTCTTGTTTGTCGTTTTCTACTTCTTCTCTTATCGCCCACTCCCGTGTGTTCCAACGGGTCCTTGCATCGGCGGCCAATGCCTTCTTCAGTTCTTTTTCAGTTGTTTTCCTTTTCCTTCTGACGCCCGGACGCACGGACGCCCGGACTTTCATTCTCGGCTCCCTGCTACCGGAGAGATCTCATCACCAACGTCGCCTACGTCGCCTACGTCGCACACGTCCAAGCAACACCAAAACACGGCTCATCAACGACACACGTTGCCTGTTATCCCGCTTGGCTACACCTCCACCCGCCGCCGGGGACGATTCCCCATTTACCCCCCCAAAAATAATACAACAAAATACAACAAACCAATATGGACATGCTGCCCGAGCCGGCCATGACAGGGCTGCCGCCCGGCCGTACCTATGGCGGCAACCGGGCTTTTCACAATTATGGTGGGTGCCGTGCTCTGCCTCAGCATGCACTTGGTCGTCCACTCGTTTCTTTGCTAACCCTCTGGCTTCTCTCACGTCTCACCGACGACAGCCAACGACTACTCGCACATTTCGGACCCGAACCTGCGGCGGCGCCTCGCGCTCTCGGAAATCGACAAGGTGCCCCTCGGCCTGTACCACGTGCGCGCCGTGGCGGTGGCCGGCGTCGGCTTCTTCCTCGACTCGTACGACATCTTTGCCATCAGCATGGTCACGAACCTCTGGGGCCTCGTGTTTTGGGGCGGCGGCGACGCCACGGCATCGGCGCTCGTGGCCGAAACGGCCGCCGCGTACGGCTACGGCAACAACCACGGCTCGCTGCCGGACCCCGTCAACCAGGCCGTCAAGGCGTCGACGAGCGCAGGCATCATCGTCGGCCAGCTGGTGTTTGGCTGGCTGGCCGACGTCCTGGGCCGCCGGCGCGTCTACGGCATCGAGCTGGCCGTGATTGTGCTGGCCACGCTCGGCTGTGCGCTCGCCAGCCCCAGCCCGGCCATGAGCTCGACGGGCCTGCTGGTGTTCTGGCGCGTCGTCATGGGCGTCGGCATCGGCGGCGACTACCCGCTGTCGTCCGTCATCACCTCCGAGTTTGCGCCGACGCGGTGGCGCGGCGCCATGGTGGCGTCCGTGTTTTCGATGCAGGGCTTCGGGCAGCTGCTGAGCGCCATTGTGGCGCTGGTGGTGACGGCGGCGTTCCGGTCCGAGTTTGTCGGCGTCGCGAATGCCGCCCAGTGCGGCGTGGGCTGCCGCGCGGCCGCCGACCGGTGCTGGCGCATCATCATCGGCTTCGGCGCGCTGCCGGCGTGCTTTGCGCTCTACTACCGCATCACCATCCCCGAGACGCCGCGCTACACGTTTGACGTGGCGCACGACGTCGAAAAGGCCGATGCCGACATCCGCGCCTACATGGCCAGGGAGCGCGAGGGCACCGTCGACCCCGTGGTGCAGGCGCGGCTGAAGCGCGTCGCCGGGCCTGCGCTGTCGTCGGGTCCGTCGGCCACCGTGCCGCACGCCTCGTGGGCCGACCTGCGCGCCTACTTTTGGGGCCGGGGCAACCTGGGCCATCTGCGCGTGCTGCTGGGCACCATGCTGTCGTGGTTCTTTCTCGACCTGGCCTACTACGGGCTGGCTCTCAACAACTCTGTTGTGCTCGAGGCCATTGGCTACTCCAAGGGTGCCAATCTGTATGCGGTGCTCTACAAGTAGGTCGTCTTTTTGTACACCCTGGATGGGATGGTTTATCCTGTAGCTTTGATTTATGCTGACACTGCAGCAACGCCGTTGGCACCATCATCCTGGCGTGCGCCGGCAGCCTGCCCGGCTACTGGACGGCTGTGCTGACCATCGACACCATTGGCCGCAAACCGCTGCAGGTCGGCGGCTTCCTGATCTTGACTGTGCTCTTCTGCGTCATGGGCTTCGCGTTCCACCGGCTCAGCGAGACCGCCATGCTCGCCCTCTACGTCGTCGCGCAGTTCTTCTTCAACTGGGGCCCCAACACGACCACCTTTGTCATTCCCGGCGAGTGCTTCCCGACGCGCTACCGCTCCACCGCCCACGGCATCTCGGCGGCCATGGGCAAGATCGGCGCCATCCTCGCGCAGGTCATCAGCATTCCCATCCTCAGCCGCGACGCGCCGCCCAACTGCACCATGAGCGGCGGCAGCCCGACCTCCAAGAGCTGCTCGCCCTGGCTCAACCGCCTCATGCAGATCTTTGCCCTCTTTATGCTGTGCGGCACGATCGTCTCGCTGTTCTGCATCCCCGAGACCAAGGGCGTCACCCTCGAGGAGCTGTCCGGCGAGGCGCCCACGTCCTATAATGCCGGCCGCAACGGCAGCATCGGCGGCGGCGGCAGCGGCGGCGGTGGCGGTGGCGGCGCTCGACGGCGCAGACGCCATCGCAATGCTGCCGCCGATGATGATATCAACAACAACAACAACAACAACAACAACAACAACAACAACAACAACAACAACAACAACAACAGTGGTGGCGGTGCCACGGCCTCTTCGTCGTCCTCCCTGGCCAAGGCCTTCCAAGAACCCCTGGACTGGAACCCCTTTGCGGGCGGTCAGCCGGCTGGCTTCTTGTATCCACGCATGGGTGCTCGCAAGTACCGCCGTCGGCGCATCTTTGGCCGCGTCCTCGGCGGCGGCGGCGTAGGCGGCCGCGGTTCGTCGCGCGGCGGGTCGGGTGCCCGCATGCGCGGCGACGACTATATAAACGACGGCGACGACGCCCGCATCGACATTATGACCAGTCCCGAACTGGCTGCCCAGCGCGAAGCCGCGCGCAACAACAAGGGCGGCAGCAGCAAAAAGGGCGCCGGTGGTTTGTCGGCTGCCGCTGCCGCCGCCGCCGCCGCCAACATCGGCCACTCCGCGCCGTCCCGTTCGCACAGCGGCCGTCACCTCCTCAGCCGCGGCGGCGCCTCCAGCAGCAACCGCAACCGCGACCACGACCGCGACTCGGACACATCCGCAGCCACGGCGACGACATACACCAACAACGCGAACAACACGGCCGGCTACGGTGGCGGCGGCACCACCAACTACGGCAGCAGCCTCGACGACAGCGGCGAGCCCGGCGACCGCCCGAGCCGCCGGATGGTCCATCCGCTGCACCCGGCCTTTTCCACCGGCCACGGCGGCAGGCTGCCCGGCGACGACGGCGAAATCGCCATGGGCGGCCTGGCGCATCCGCCACGAACGGCCGCGCATCAGCGGTACCCGCGCGGCACCACCAACAGCGACGGCTTCTCGTCGGATGGCGAGGGCCCTTCGCATCTTGGCCACGGCGGAATCGGTGTCTTTCCCGGCTGGGGCGCCGGCTGGGGCCGTATCGACCGCTCCAATATTGGCCAGGCGACGGCCAACAACACCCTCGACGACATCCGACTGAGTGATGTTGGCCAGCTGCTGCGGTAGACAGGCAGCTGCGTCCCGTCTTTCATTGTATTCATAAAGCATTTGGCTTTTTCTGTTTATTTTTATTTTTTATTATTTTTATTATTTTTATTACCCTTATCATTCTCCCACATAGTTTATTCCTCTTTATTGACATAGAGGATCACGGCATGGATATAGGAAGGACTATTTAGAACTAGATTATACATCTAGAATGATACCACAACACAGAGAACAAAGAACAATCATTTCCACAAATTCATACGACTGCATTGATGGAATAGTATAGATAGTAAAAGCCAAAAGAAATGCTCGCCGAAGGGGTTATCGTACAAGAAATGCAACAGATAGAAAAGAAAACGGAGACACAATGAAAACAGACAGGCAGTGGAGTAGTTGCAACTGGCAAGAAAATGGAACAAAGGAAATGGTTTCGTTAAGAAGAGCAAAAGACAAAAGAAAAAAAAGTAAAAAGGAAAAACCGAAAAGAAAGAAAGACCGTTGTACTGGCGTCAGTTTTTGAATTCAGTCCCCCCCCCTCTCATTCGGACATCTTCTCCCGCTTGTCCACCACCTCCTTCAGCACCTGCAGCTTCTCCTCTGTCACGCGGATCGCCTCGCGAATCTCGCGGTCGTCCATCCGTTCTTCGCGCAGCTTCTCCTCGACCGTCCGCGGCTCCACGGCCCGCTTGCGAGCTGCGTCGCCAACCTTGCCGCTACCTCCACGGCCGCCGCCGCCACCATGGCCGACTGCCGCCCCACTGACCACGCCTCCGTTGTCCATGAGCCGGTCGAGCCCCACCCGCTCCTCCAGCCAGTCCCAGAGCTCGCTCTCCTCGCGCTGCCACATTTCTTCGTACGCCACCAGCCGGTCGGGGTAGCCGGCACCGCGGCGCAAGGCGCCGCCGCCGACTCCGCCGCCGTTGTTGCCGTTCGACCCGAACCGGAACCACGAGGCCACCAACAGCCCGACCAGCAGGCCGTACATGACGTTGCCCGTCAGCAGCGGCTTCACAATGTCCACCGCCGGGCCCAGGATCCCGTGCACCGGCTCCAGCACGCCCCAGTCCGACTTGGCCGACGGCTTGGGCTTGCTGCGCTCCGAGTCGCTCGTCGGTCCCGAGGCCAGCGCGCCCGCCTTGCCCTTGCGGCCCTTCTTGCCGGCTTTGCCGCCCTTGGCGCCGTTCGCCGCGCCGTTCGTGGCCGTGCCCGCGCGTGACCGCGTCGCCACCGCCTCCTTAAGGCCTGCAAGCAAGTCGCGGCCGTACTGGGCCTGGCCTTCGTTGGCAGCCTTCTCAATCGGCACCTTGAGCCAGCTCTTGCCCGACCACTCCGTCGTGCACGTCATCTGCATCCGCGTGCCGTTGCCCTCCGCCCACGACAAGCAGTAGTTGGTCTTGACCGTGAATACGTTGCCGCTCGGCACATCTGGGTTCTGTGTTGAGCACACAATGTGGATCGCCTTGTCAAAGTCGAGCGACTCGACCTGCTCCGTGACAATGCACTTGGTCTGCTTTGGGCCGATGGACGCATTCAGCGGCTTGATGTACGAGAACGTCCGCGACTTGTTGTCCGCGCCGAGGCCCTTCTTGTCCTGCATCTGGATGTCGAAGCACTTCTGGTCGTTGCTGAGCCACTTGGGCATAAACGTCGCTGATGCGCCGCCGAAGATGTAGCTGAACACCTTGCCCAGCGGCGCAGGGATGACTTCGTCAATGAGACCCTTGTCGTAGTGGGCGTCGGCGTTGCCGCAGTCGGTCGCTGCGTGCGTCGTCGGGCCAGGGTAATCGGCGCCGCCCGCTGCCGCAGGTGCATCTTTGGGCTTGTCGCCCCCTGCTCCATTCGCGGCGGCGGCGGATGCTGCGCCCGACACCTTGCGCGCCACTGTGCGCTCGGCATCGGCATCCGCCGCCCCGCCATTCGCCTCGGCGGCCTGTGCCACATCGTGTGCGTCGTCGTCTTCGGCGTCTTCGTCATACACGTCATTTGAGTCGTCGTCGCTGTCGTCGCCCGAATCCGACTCGCTGCGGCTGCCCGCAGAGGCACCCTCGTCGCCTTCGTCAATCTTCTCGGTCTTGTCGCCGCCGGTCTCGTCGATGCGCACACCATTGAGTGAGCTCTGGAGGCTGGGGTGGCCAAGCTTCCAGATCTTCACAATCAGGTCGTACGTGGAGTCACGGCTCGCGAAACTGGCAAAGATGTGCTTTGCGTGCAGAGTCGAAATCATCAGGCCATTCTTGAAGACGAGGGCCGTGCTGCGTTTCTCGACCGACACGATCTCGTCGAAGCTCATGACGAGTGTCGTCACCCAGCCGAGAATGTTGCTGCTGAAGCAGAGATGGCCCTCGGACACATACAGACGACCATGCGCCAGGATCTCGCGCTGCAACGCGCAACTGTAGTCCTCGATGAGATAGTCGTCATCTGGCACGCTCTTGAAGAAGTTGTGGAAGTCCCGGTTGCGCTTCTTACTGGCAACAGCAAATCCTGTGAGCTTCGGCGTGCTGCCGGCATGGGCCGGGTGCGCGACCGACGCATTGGCGGCGGCAATCGCGGCAGCAATGGTACCGCCCGACACGGCGGAGCTGCCGCGGTTTCTCCGGCGCCCAATCGCACTTCTTATGCTCCCGGTACGCTGGACAGCTGCTGGTTCCTTTGGCTCCTTGTCACCGTACAGGCTGGCCGTCGGTGGTGTGCGGTCGTCGTGTGCGAAGTCCGAAACGGATCCGGGCCGGCCGCTATGGCCCGCATCACTGCCGTGGTCTGTGTAGTCGGACGGCGCATGGAAATGAGAGCTGTCCGCTGGCGCAGACTCGGACCGGTGCCTGGACTCGGACGACACTTCAGAGACCCTCTGTGCATGTAGGATCGGTGAGTTGGCCATGGCAGAGATGTTGGCGGAGTTGGCGGCCGAGCTGCCGCCCAAACTGCCGTTGTTCTTGGGTTGTTCAGCGATGCCCAGTTGGCTCAGGCTCAAATCACCCATGCCAAGTGTTTTGACGGCTGGTTCTTTGGAGCTCGATGATACGGAGGGAACAAGCGGCGCGCCGAGCGACTCGACTTCAACCTCGTCGTCGTGGTCCTCCCCGGTGCCTTCTGTAGAAACAGTGAGGCTCGACCCGGTTTTGTCGTCCTGGTCTTTGCCACCGGTCTTCTTGCTGCTGTTGCTCCAGGGGGCTGTGAGACTGGTGCTGGCAATGGTGCTGCCAAGGCTGTTGGTCGCGTTGCTCAGACTATTTGTGGCGTTTTGCGCAGCAGAGAGGACGGACGAGAAGAAGCCGCTGGCAGAGGGAGTTACAGCACCGCTTTCGGGCGTGGGCGTGAGGGGAGCGAGGGTGAAGTTGGAGAGTTTGCTTGGTACTAGAGAAGCGGATCCGGCACGGCTTCGTCTCTGCGCAATTATACTATGATTGACGGACGCAGGCGAGGACCCGTTGGAGTGGCCGACCGGGCTGTAGCTGACTGCGTCAGGGGACGCAGTGACAGCCGTCCGAGGGCGAGCAATGGTGTTCGGATGGCTTGGGTCAGTCGGCGTCGGGGGCGTGTTGACAATGACCGGAGTGGCTTTCTCGTCGGACGGCGGTGTTTCGGGGCGGGCCGCCGTGTCAACCTTTTGACCACGGGAGACACGCCGGAACCGCTCGTTGGGAGCGGTCTTGGAGGTACCGGGTTGGTGCTGAGATGCGCCGGCCACACCGTGGGAGGAGGAGGGTGGTGTCGCGGATGTCGAGCCGTCGGTAACGGTAATGGAGGGGAAGGACGTGGTTTGCAAACTAGAGGCGGGTGAGTTGGAGCTCTTGCTGCTTTCTTCGGCCGTGTCCGCTCGAATGAGATCGACAGGTCGCTGTCGCTCAGGGCTGTGGCTGTCGGTGCTGGCGATGCTCGCGGCCGGGCTCTTTTTGGACTTGAATACACTGCGAAAACGGCCAGCCGGTGACGTGGACCGGCGGCTTTTGGACGATGGCGGCGCCAAGCCCGTCTTGCTTGAGGACAAAGGAAGCTTGTAACCCAGCGTGTCGGAGTCGGTGTTTTCCGGTGGGAGCGTTGATGCACGCGCAAAAGGGTCTTCTGCGTCGTCGTCTGGAGTGCGGATGTCTTGGAGATGGTTGGCCTGGACTAGTGGTGATGACGTTGTGAGGTAGCCAATCTGGGACGGGTGGGTTGAGAGGCCCTCGGGGCGCGACGGGCTTTAGGAAAACGTTAGAGAATCATGCCAGAAAAGAAAGTGAAAGTATCGCAAGATATAAATGTCGCTTGGAAACAATGATGTGAGGGGAAATAGAAACACAAATTTAATTGTAGAAGGAAAACACGGGAAGGAAGCGGGACGTCAAGGGGAAAAAAAAATAAGCTGGGACTGGAAGCGTCGGAAAAAAAGCAGAACCTGGGCAGATTCAATTGACCGCTGCTCAGCAGCGGGCTTGGCAAAAAGGTGAGCAGGATAAAAGCACGAAAAGAGCGAAGAAAGAAAGCATAAGCTAAGGAACTAGCAAAAGCTCCTAAGACGAGAGCGGCCGTAACGCAGTTCAGGGCGAAGGCAAAAAGGCAGGGACGAAGCTGGGGAATAGAGGCAAGGATTTTCGAGGATGATTCAGCCGACGACGTCACGAAGCGACTGGGCGGCGAAAGGACCCAGAAAACCAGCGATGAGATACAACAAGCAAAAAAAGAGGCAGAAACACGAGGCAGAGAACGAAATGTTGATGGCACAAAAGGCAGCAACGTGAGGCGAGATGGAGAGTATTTGGCCGGTGGGACAATTGGCGGCCTGTCTTCAGCGTTACAGAATCGGGAGAGGAGAGCGAGTCACCAACGCCTGGCCACGAGAGATGGGAGGGGAGCGAAAAGCAACGCAGACACGCCTTCAGAACAAACACGCGTATGTGGTTTGCATGTAGACAGAACGACTGGGGAACAAATGAATGCAAACGACGCAGCAAATGTAAGACTGCTGAACAAAGAGAACAGGAAACTCACAGCAGATCGTCGTCGGATCGCCCGCTGGCGTCCTCCTCGTCAACCATGTTGAGCAGGCTGTCGTCGCCAGTGGCTGTGGTCTGCTGGCTCAGGGCAGTGCGCCCTCGCGATCGATTTGTCTCGTCGTCGGTCGGCTCTTTTTGGGCAGACCGCTTCCAGCGCCGGATCGACTTGGGTCTAGGCAGCTTGCCACGGTTGTTTGTTCCCTTGCCGCCGTTGATGCTGTTGGCCGGGCTTGATTCCGCTGACATGTTCGTGTGTATCTGGATGAGCCGTCAAGTGGCCGAGATGCGGACCTGATGCGAGCAACTGGAAAGCGCCTGTGCAATTTTGTGTGCTGCCTGGGTCAGTGGGGAGCTGGGAATCCGAAAAGCTGGCGAGCTGAAGAGTGACAGGACAGCTTGGGAGCTCCAGCAGCTCGACAAGCAAGCGTCGTATTATCGAGCGCTACGAGCTGCAATAGAGGACGTTTTGCTCCGTATTCGTTCTCTCGTAATACCTCGTAAAATGGGGCCCAGTAAACAGGGTTTGGTGCACTCGGTAGCGGCGGGACGGCGCAATTGCGAAATCCGTGAAGCGTGGGTGGATGGGCTTATTTTGCTACTTGCGCTGATGGTGTTTTTCTTCTTTATTGATGTGCGACTTTATGTCGTGTTGTTGCTTTGTTTCTTGCTCAGTTGCCAACGAGCTTCCGCTTCTTCCGCGGTCCCTCGCCAAGCCAGGGTCTCTCGTCCCTTTCGTCTGTCTCGGCACAGATCGTTCTCGTTTTCGTGCGTTTCAACGTGCTGCGCAGACCGCTTCGCAATCTGACATCTGACATAAGCCGTCTTTGACAATGTCAGACTTGGTGCCTCATGGTCTCTCTTGGTGTTCCTAAAAGCAATGACTGTCTTGTACTCTGCCCTCGACGGCCGATGTCGAAGGATCCAGGGTCCCGGGCGTCGGATTGGGATTGGATTTTTGGGTCTGGACACCGTTATGTTCTTGACGCTCGTGATCGCAATTTGCTGCAACAGTAGTGGGTCGGTCTTGCTTGGCCACGCAAGCTTGCCCAGGCAGCGTGGTGACAAGGACGTAAAAAGGAGCAAAAAGAACAAAAAGAGTAAAACGTAGAGACGCAGACAGCAAAAGAGGAGTAGGTTTAAAACGAAAAACATAAAAATAGCAAGTCAAAACAGGGGGCTCCAAAATGGCCGGCAGCGCATCAGCAGAATGGGCCGTGTGCTCTGCGAAACGTGGGGTCCCTCCTGCAACGTGAGAGCTGACGGAGAGATCCGAGGCCCTGTGGGATGGAGGTGGTGATGTCGGCGGGTTTTGGTGAATGGGAAGGAAAAGGGGGGAAAAGAGGCGATGCGAAGATGCGGCGCGGAAAGAAATCGACGATGCTCATGCTCATGTGCTCTTGCCCATCAATTTCCCCATTCGACTACGAATTACACTGGTATTACAGGCTGTTGCCCTTTTTGCGACTCTGAGGTAAGATACGTGGGAAGGTGCTACTCCAGCATCTTGCCGTCCCTGGGGCAAATCAGGCTACCTAGTTTCTCTCCCTCTGTTTCCCCCCTCGTCATGGTTGCTGCTTCCCTCCCAGGTCGACCGTAAATCACGATCCAGCAAGTAGCCACATTGCCCCTTCCTTGGCGTTGTCGCCAAGCTACGCCAAGGGGGAAGTCGCAGAGCCAGCCAGCCACTTTAAGGAAGTAGCGAGCGAGAGTCGGCGGGGTGACGGTATCGCACTGTGCTTATCGTAGCTCATGTACCGTATGTATTCCACAGTGTCAATATTACATAACACAGTAATCGCTATCCTCACGCCTCCTTATCGCCCGTAATCGGTCACACTTCACTCAGTTGACGTTGACATCGTCATCCTTGAACCATCATCCAACCGGTCTTGAGGTCGCCTCGAATTTCACGATACCAATACAGAAGCCAGAGAGCTTCTTGGCGATTACTGTTTAGAACCGACTGTGACTGCTTGGTGGGACATCTCACGCGGGCCTCACGATGGAGGCTTCGCCGCTGATCAAGGTAGGCATCCAAATGTCGACATATCGGATTGGTGGCCCGTGTAACCCATCTCGAGTCCGCGGACTGACTTTGTTTCCCCATTTAGGCTCATGACCATGCTCGCGAAGCATCTGTCGCGACACACGCCGCCGACACCGTCGTCGCAGTCAACGAGCATGCGCTGGCGGCGGGCGAGTTCGCCACGGCCGCGAGCGACACCTCGAGCGCCGAAGCGCTGCGCACGCTGCGGCTGCTCGAGCAGCACCACCAACGGCTCTCACAGCTGCTGCGATACTCGCTCGAGCACCCGCTGCCAGGCGCCGGCGGCGCACTGGCACAGAAACCGGACGGCGATTCGATCAACGAGAAAGAAGCAGGGCAAAGTACCGGGGATGGAAAGGCCGCCGTGACGGGCAGTGGAGCTGGAACGGCTGCGACAACGACGTCCGTGTCGGGGGTTGTCTCGCGCGGCGAGTTTGCAGGACGGACAGCGGGTGGCACGGCGGGTGGCTTCGCTGGCGGTGATGATGGCGCCTCGGGCGGCGCGGCAAGCAGCGGCAGCGCATCGGCCGCGGCCGCGTCCATGTCTGCGACGGCCACGGCACACCAAGCCGGAGCTGCTGCAATGGCCAACATCCAGGCCGGAACCCGTCGTTACCCTCCGTCCCGCGAGCTGTCGTCGTCCATTGCGAACAACCTGGCGTCGGCACGCGGCATCCGCGGCGGGTCGGCTGCTGCCCGTCTGCACCATCGGGGCCAGCCTGCAGCACCCAGTGTCTCCAACGACCAGGCACCCGGCAACCTCGAAGCGTCGCCTGGGCAAAAAGAGGGCGGAGGGTCTCGTGCGCAGATGCAGAGTGTGCTGCAGCAACAGCAGGCCAAGCCCAGCTGGGTGCCGCCGGCACCCCAGCCACAGTCGCATCCGCAAATGTTTGTGGGTACAGAGACAGAAGAGGGCGAGGTGACGGCCAAGGCCGACGAGGGCTTCTCGCGGTTCTACAGCAGATTTGGCAGCATCATCAACCGGCTGTCGGCGCCACTGGCCTTTGCAGGCCTGCCGCTGATCACGGAAGAGGCGAGTGCACCAGACGCCGCGCACGCTTCGACGACAGCAGAGGCACACGGACAGGTTGGTGCGGCGCCCAGGCACCCAACACACGTCCGTTCATCGTCGCAGCTGTCCACGTCGTCGGCTGCCGAGCCGGATCTGTCGCAGATCTATTCTCGCGCCGCTCTGCGCGCCCTGGGTCGCGACACGGCAGGCCACATGGGCAGCGCCAACGACTCGTTCTATGTGGTGCCCAAGACGGGCCACACGGCGTCGTATGCGAATATTTTGAGTTTCGACCAAAAGGAAAAGCGGCGGCAGATGGCGGCATCGTTCCATGGCGGAAGCGGCGGCGGCGGCGGCATGATGGACGAGATCCCCGAGGTGGCCGACGACGGGGACGACGATTTCGTCGATGCCAAGGAGCAGCCGGCGTCGCCGACGAGCAGCCGAGCACGGGGCAACCGTATGCACCAGCTGGGAGCCAAGTCGGGCGTGGCAGCGGTGGACCACTTGATCGAAGAGCTGTACACGGAGAACCAAGGTCTCAAGAACATGCTGGACAAGTTGAGCCGGCGGCTGCACACGTTCGAAGCGAGTGCGCAGCAGTCGCACATGGCGTTGCAGGAGAGTATGCGGTTCATGCGGCCGGGGTCACCGAACAGCGGTGGAGGCGGCGGCGGAATTGGGGCGTCGACGTCGTCTTTGACGCCGGCGGCAGCAGCGGCAGCAGCAGCATCAGCGGCAGCCGCGGCCTCGCTCAAGGCGAACCGTGGGGCGGGCAGCATGAACACGGGCGGTCTTGGCACGTCTGCGGATGCCGACTCAAACTTGGACACAGCGTCCTTGCTCTCAAAGACAAGGGACCTGGAGGAGGAGCTGGCGCAGGCGCTGCAGCGCCTGGATGCGTCGGAGAAGGAGCGGGCCCACCAGGAAAAGACACTGCAAAAGTACCGTGAGAAATGGGAAAAGCTCCGGGCCGGAGCCAAGGCGCGACGAGACGCGAATCCAAGCCCGTCGTAGCTGGAGAATTGCTTCCCAGAAAAGCAAACGAAATACAGAGCTTTGACAAACACTGCAATGTGACGGTCTTTATTCACATCATAAATCAAAAGTGGATATCTAAGTAGGACGAGTCTGTATCCTCGTAAAGCAATTCCATGCTAGCCAACAACAAAACCCAAACGCCTGTACAAATTACAAATGTAACATCCGTAGCCTCCAGGAGCCTCCAGTAGCCTCCCATCACTCCTCCCCTGCCCGTTGCGCTTGCGCATAAACACTCTTCTTGGTCAGGCCGCTACCAACCGACGCAAAGAGAGCCGGCGCTATCTGTTGCTGCTGTGCTGCTGCCGCCCACGAGGCCACGCTGCGCAGCGCCACCGCCAAAAACCCCAGCGTCTCGCGGTCGACGTCAAAGACCTCCCACCACGGACCGGCCGCGTCGGGCAGACGGGCGCCAATGTCGCGCGCCGCGCTGTAGAGAGCCGCGACAGCCAGTTCGTGCGGCTGGTGCGTGACATACAGCAGCTGCGGCGACAGCAGGGCCGTGTTGAGGTACTGGACGGCGCGGTGGGCGAGCGCCGAGTCGGCTGGCGGGCCGGTGTCGCCCAGGAAGCTGAGGGTTTGCAGGTACGTGATGGCGAGAGGATGGGGCAAGGCGACATGCGTTTCAAACGCGAGCACGTCCAGCAGGCGCGTCTCGCAGGCGAGAACGTGCGTGTGGAAAGCGGCGTACTCGGTATCGCTGCTCGCCCCGCCGGCTGTGCCTTCTGCAGCACCGGCCACTGCCAGATAGTGGTACACATTGGCAATGTCCCGGGCCGATCGTGGAAGCGGCCCCGTCTTGGCCACGAGGTAGACGGCGGCGGCCGAGACGTGGCGGTAGTCCGTGGCGCGGGACGCGGCAACGTCGAACCCGGGCGCCTGCACCCAGTACCGCGCCAGCAGGACGTTGGCCCGCGCCGTCGTCGACTGTGGCAGCTCGAGCAGCAAGCCGGCGGCCTGGGTCAAGCGCTGTGTCGCGAAGAAGACGGCGTCGAGCAGTTCGCTGGGCAGCTGCAGCGCCGCGGCGCGGTCACGGCAGCGGGCCAGCTGTGCGGCCGTGGCGAGTGGGTTTGTCAAGTGCGACATCTGGGGCAGTGTTCGTGACAGGCGCTCGTGTCAGTTGAGGTGGTGGATAGGTTGGGTTGGCAAGGCTGTCGTTTTACGGCGTCGCAGAATTTTAGCGCATATGGTGGTTCATGCGCGCTAAATACACTATATGGTGATATCATTCTGAGCCTCATAATGTGAAGATAGGGACGTAACGAGATAAGTGTCACGCTTATGATTTATTGACAGAAAATTTCACATGCAACTCGATTTACGTGCTTATATATTATATTGAGACAGACATACTAAGATATACATATACATATCCATGTATATGGCAGTTCAAGTCTTGCACTGCCTTTCCAGCTATCAACTTCATGATGTGCCTGCCACCATTACGTATTCAATCCATTTTGCTCATGTTTTCACGTGGATATCGACATATCTCATATATTGTACACACGGCATTTTAGCATCTAAGTTTCCCGCTCCGCTTCTCCCCTTCCGGGCCTCCCACCCTCCCATCTCACACATTCTTTTCCCGTGAACCAACCACGCGCTCAAAGCTGCCCAGCTCCATCGTGAACGAGTGGCGTCCACCCGTCATGCTGCGAAGCCGCGTGTCGTACGCCAGCATCTCCTTGAGCGGGACCTTGGCCACAATCTCGAGGAGACGGGTCACGCCGCGCTTGGCCTCGCGCAGGGACTGGATGGACACGTACGGATCGGGCGGCGCGTACACCTGAGCGAGGTCGATGGGAGAGTCGCCGGCCGCCATGGAGGATGACGACGACGCGCCCGCCGACGAGCTCTCACGGACTTCGAGGACGAAGCCGCCTCGGGAGCCCGTGATGTCTCGCTGGATGGCGCCCGCACTGTCGTCGGGACACGCAATGCGCACGTTCATGACTGGCTCGAGAACACCCACCAGGCCCTTGTCATGCGCCCCCCGCAACGCGTTGCGTACGCCGTGCAATGCCGCGTTCACAATGTGGCCGTCCGTGTCGGCGCCGCCATAGTCCGTCTCCGCGTTGAAGACAATCGTCACTTTGCAGCCGTGCAGCGGCGAGCCGCGACGGGGGCCGCGAGCAAGGGCACCGTAGGCGCCGCTGAACAGCTGGCGGCTGACCATGTCGAGATCAAAGGGGAACACGGTGTTCTCCCCGCCGCCCTCAAACCGGATGACGAAGACATTTCCGTCGCGCTGAAAGTAGAACGAGGCCTCGCCCGGTTCGTCCCTGTGTGTTTTCTGCTGCTGCGGCAGCTCGCTCGCTTCGTCCTCTTCAATGCGCTCTATTTCCACCGTACACGCTGCCATGCCCGTCTTGTTGGCCACCGTGCGGTCGTAGACGTACCGTGTCGGGCCCGTTGTCGGCGTGGCCAGGCACTCCTTGTAGTCCACCTGCACGTCACTGAACGATGCGTTCACCTGGTATGTCGTGCGCAGCCGGTCCATGGCCACGTCCAGGTGCAGCTGGCCCATGCCCGACAGCACAAACGTGTCTTCACTGCCGGCCTCCTCGCCGCGTTGCCACCGCAAACTCGGGTCTTCACGGGAGATCTTGTCCAGCGCGTCGGCCAGTTTCTTCGTCTCCACCTGGCCGTACGCCTCGACTGACACGAAAGCCACTGCAGGCCCGACGTCCGGCGGACGGATTGTCATGGCGCGCAGGTCGGCCGTCGTGAGATTCATGTTCTGGGTGGAGGTGGGCAGAATGTGCAGCGTGTCGCCTGTCCGCGCCGACTTGAGACCTGTAACGGCGCCGATCTGCCCCGGCGCCAGGTACGGGATCTCGCCGATCTTGGCGGCCGACACCTGTGCAATCTGAAACGGCTTCTCGAACTTGGCCAGGTTGGCGTTCCACACCTGAGCGTTCTTGTGCAGCGATCCGTGGTAGACGCGCACAAATGTCAGCATGCCGTGCGTACCTGCAAACAGACTTGGGTCGTTGACGACCTTGAACACGGATGCCAGGGCGCCCGTCTTGCTGGGGTCGGTCAATGCTTTGTTGCCATTGCTGCCTCTTGCCTTCTTTCCACCCTTGGTCGCCACGTCTCCCGCCATAACATCGCCCAACATCCTGGCCTCTTGGCCAATGCGCACCTCAACATCGTGTGTCTCCTGCGGGTTCGGCAGGTAGTCTACGACGGCATCTAGTAGCGGCTCGACGCCGATGTTGCGCAGGCTCGACCCCGCAAAGACGGGCACGACGCTGCCGTTGGCCGTCCGCACCACACGCCGGATGCTGGCCTTGACCAGCGACGACGGAAGGTCCGCTCCTTGCTCGGAAAACGCCTCGACCAGCTCGTCGTCGTCCTCGCACAACCGTTCGATGAGTTTGACGCGCGCCGTCTCAATCTCGTCCCACAGCGCCTCGTTGGCCCGCAGCGTCTGCTCCTTGACGAGCGAACAAGTGCCGTTGGACGACCACCGCAGACCCCGCCGCTCAAGCACGTCCACCACGCCCTGGAACTCGTCGCCCGTCTTGTCCCACAGCGGGATATGGCACACGAGCGGCCAGGCGTTGAGCCGCGAGGCCACGTCAAGCACGGACCGCTGGAACGACGCGCCGTCGCGGTCCAGCTTGTTGACGTACACGAGCCGCGGAATGCTGTACTGCTGTGCCGACGCCCACACACGCTCTGTGTGCGCTTCGACGCCCTTGACAGCATCAATGATGCACACGGCACCGTCGAGGACCGGAAGACAGCGGTCGACCTCGAACCGAAAGTCTTGATGGCCCGGCGTGTCGATTAGGTTGATCGTTTTGGGCGTCTGGCCCTGTGCAAGATGTTGTTTGGGCGGCCAGTTGAAGCTGATGGCGGCCGACTGGATTGTAATGCCACGGGCCCGCTCCATTGGCAGAAAGTCCGTAATGGTGTCGCCATGGTCGACGTCTGGGCGGTTAACGGGGTTCTGTACGTGGGACACAGTTAATGGGCTACTCACTTCCGAGATGTCTCGACACGCCACTGTAGTAAAGCATGCGTTCTGTCGTGGTTGTTTTGCCCTGTTTGATTGTTAGACCACAAAAATTGATGTTTAAAAAAAAAAAAAAAAAAAAAAAGGAAAAAACTTACTCATATGAGACCTCGGACACGTACTGCGTCCACATGGGCAATGATGCCGATGTTGCGAATGTCTTCTATTTTCGCGTCATGGTATGCGGCACTGGACACCGCATTTGTGGATGCAGCTCGCGTAAAACCAAGGCTCAATGTCAAGCATGCTGCTCTTGGTCTTGGTATTATTCTCGCCGTTGTTGCTGTTGTTCCTGTTGATAGCTGGCCAAATACATGCACACGCCAGCTGCGGTACCGATTGACCGCTGACCGAGATGACATGGCAGCTTTAGACCTCGGAGCAACGTGAAGAGGTCAATTGGCCTAGTTTGCCGCTCGACGTTGTCGTCTCATTGAAAGTCGATGAAGTTGAAAAGCTTCAGGTCCTGGATAGTCACCTGACCTGTTACTCCACACAAGGGCGCTACCCCCTCGTCTGGTTCGCTCTTGCTGTTCTTGGCCCATGCTCCCACTGGCCCCACCTTGCTCCACCCACAGCCACCCGTCGCTGCCTCCGAAGTACGCCGCTCTCACTGGCTCCTGCTGTCTCTCGCATTCTCGACGGGGAAAGAATACAGGAGCCTAGGTCACACGAAAGCCGGCAAAACGCAACGACGTCAGCTTCACGATACGTCGTCCAGCTGTCGACATCACCACCAGTCGATCGCCCCCCGTTCCGCCTCCTTTCTCGTCCTCCCTCCTGCGAGCTAGGCGGACATTGCACAATTTGGTGCTCAGGCGTACGACCTTGCTGACGGCCCGCCTCTCACCATTGGGACGGTCCATCTGTGACAGGCAATCGGATTCCTCATCGCCCCCAGTTGACCCTCGCGGCGTCCCAACCGATATTTCGATAGTCTCCCTCGCCTGGTCATATACCCTGGGCCACAATGGACTACAGCGCCTCCATCCACCAGGACAATGAACACTCGGGCGGCGACCCGTGGGGTTCGCCTGAGACCTCGCCGCGGCAACCTCAGCGCACCGGCGGTTTCGGTGCTGGCGGCGTGGGCGGTGATCCGTCCCAGTCGCCGTACCAAAGACCCTTTACGGCGTCGAGCAGCGGTCTGATTGGCAGCGACCGCGACGACTTTTTGGGTGGCGGCGACGACAATGGCGGGTTTGGCACAGGTGCAGGCGACGCCGCAGACTATCGTCGGCCGGGAACGGCGAGCAGCACGCAGTCGACCTCCAATGCCGACAGCGTGTCCGACGCGACAGCGGCCGGTGGTGCCGACGACTATTCGTACCAACAGCAGCAGCATAACGACCAGCACTCGCCCTTGCCGCCAAAACCCGCCAATCCATCGGCCGTTGGCCAGCAAGGTGATTCACAGCTGAAGCAGCAGCAGCAGCAGCAGCAACAACAACAACAACAACAGCAGCCGCAACGGCCGCCGCAACCACAGTACAAGCTGCAGGTCAAGATTACGGCGCTAGAGCGGAGCGCAAAGAAAGACCCGATCTTCCGTTTTGATGTTCATGTGAGTCGATGCCTAGGTCTAGTCGAAATGGGCAAAGTCGGCAAGTCGGCAAAGGTGGTATTGTTTCTTGTCCAGTGTACTGACGTGGTTTTCAGACGAACATTCCCCGCTTCCGTACCACCCAATACCGCGACGTGCGCCGCCTGCACTCCGAGTTTGAGAAGCTGGCCGAGCATCTCATCTCAGCGAATCCCGAAGCCCTCGTGCCTGCCGTCCCTGGGCCCGTGACGTCCGCAGGCGCCGGCACCGACGAAGATGAGGCTCGCGTCAAGGCCCAGATGCAGCGCTGGTTCAATTATGTCTGCAGCAACGAAGTGCTCATTCGCGACGAAGAGATGGTCCTTTTTGTTGAGAGCGACTTTGGTTATAGCCCCATGGTCAAAAAGAAGCAACCCGCCACCGGCGTGCGCCGCAAGATTCTCAAGCAGTTTGCCCCGCCCGCAGACGACACCCCTGAACTGCAGGCGGCCCGTCCTACCGTGAAGCTCTTCTACCTGGGCACCATGGATGCCTGCCACAAGGTCGACAAGCTCGTCAAGGCTCGCCGCGGCCTTGGCCTGGCCGAGTCCGATTTTGGTGTCAAGCTCGGTGCTATGAATGTTCAGGAACCCCACCAGGGCTTGGCCAATGCCTACCGCAAGCTCGGCAAGATCCTCCAGACCGCCGGCGACTACCAGGCCGTCCAGGCCACCGCCGAGGCCACTACGATTGGCGACCCCTTCGAGTACCACTCCTCGGATGCCCTCATCTTCAAGGAGACCCTCACCAACCGCCAGCTGCTCATCCGCGAGCTGCTCCAGGCCCAAGAGACCACCCGCGGCCGCCTCAACGCTACCGACCGTCTCAAGAACAGCTCCAACGTCCGCCGTGAAAAGGTGGACGAGGCCATCACCGCGCTCGCCGACGCCCGCCAGAACGAGGCCGAGCTTATCCAAAAGACCACCCGCGTCACCGCCAACCTCGTCCAGGAACGTCGCCGCTGGTTTACACGTACTTCTGCCGACCTTCGCCTGAGCATCCGCGAGCTTGTCATTCGCGAGATCGAGGCCGAGCGCCGCTCGCTGTCCTTGCTCGAGAGCGTCCGCGCCGACATCCGCAGCATCGACGGGTCAGGCGGCCTGAGCCGCCTCGGCCGCGAGTCGCACCCTACAAATGTCCGTCGTACCAGCCTGGCCGCCAGCCAAGGGCCCAAGGGCGACGCGTGGAGCGGTGTTCCGCGCCGCTCAGATGCTGTGCTGGCCCGGGCGCCGGCTGGAGGTGACGATGGTGAGGGCACCGGTGGCCTGGGCAGCCCGACGGACGAGTACGATCCCAGCTCGGGCATGCTGCGTCCCGCAAGCATACCGGGTGTCATTAACGAGGAGGAGGAGGACGACGACCGGGTGGACGCACGCAATGCTGCCAGCCGACTGGCTTCGAGCACGTTCTAATGAGGGTTTTTGGCTGACCGGGCATGCGTTTCTTCATTTCATCAATGGGCGGGCATTGGAGCAGAAGCAGGACAGCTGTGCAGACCTTTTTTTCGTGGGATTCTTGTATTTTCCTGTATTTCACCCCACGTCTGACCTGTATATTGTTATTTTATCTCTGCACGTTTTTCATCGTCTTCATCGTCTTCATCGTCTTCATCGTCTTCATCGTCTTCATCGTAACGTAATTGCTTCTCAAAATGTTTGAAGCCAACATTTCTGTCGCTTATTCGTTGTCTTCCTACATTTCCTGCCCCGTTAGCCTCGTCGTTTCATTGAAACTGTTGACACGGCACACATCCTTCCAGGACCCGTCTCGGTACTTAGGAATCCCAGAAACCTGTTTCCAGTTCAGATCCGGACGCTGTTTGGTGGCACAGGAAACACATCCGCTCGCTTGCCCCCATCCTGGCCCCCAACCTAGCCGCATGTTCTAGGGCCTGAAGGAAGGAGTTAGCCGTCCAACGTCCCGTCTCTGGGAACAAGTAAAAATCCGCGGAGCAAAGCTGTCGATTTGGGGCCTCCCGTTTGGCCAAAACCGCGGCCATGCTTGTATTTCGTGCAGCGGTAGTTGAAAGTATGGTGTGCTAGAAGGACGAGACAGTTCCATTCTATTTTCAAGTCTCTGTTACCTGGGTAGCAGCCTTGTTTCGGGATGGTCCGAAGCGGCCTGGCGCTGTATAGTAGAGCAAAACAAAGTTGGTGGCTCGAAAAGCTGCAACCCAGTGCCACCAACAGCTTGTGAGCGATATGTTTTCTCCTGCCTTCGATACGTGACGCGAATAACAGGTATTGGGCTGATGTTACCTTGCAGTCTCTTTCAAAATTGCTATTGTTTTGGGTAGATATGGTGGCATCGATGAGGTTTGACCCATGCAGACTGGCACCATCAGATGTCTCACGAATCAAAAAAAGCGCCGAAATAAACCCATGCTGCCCAATTTGACATGAGAGGGCTGCCATATTAACATTCGCTAGATAGGATAACGCCATTCTGTAAAAAAAAGAAAGAAAAAAAAGATCACGAATAAACGCTACGCGACAATAAACAACGACTTGTATCGGATGGAAACCGACCTAACATCTAGTAGTAAATGGCAGCAATAAAGTCGATGACTTAGAAGAGACGGACGGTATGTTCTCCCCGGTGAGGTACACGGCGTATTTTGCCAAATCAACGACACCATTTGCACGCACACATTCAGTCCCAAATGACGATGGTGAACCGGTCTGCCAGGATGGTCCTTAGACATCTGGCCGCTGTCCATCTTCTGTCCTTCTGGCACGCACGAATACCTTTGAAGACGTATGGCAGGTCCCCATGAAGATTATCTCTCGCAATTCCTTGTTTGTGGTAGCAAAAATTGACGTAAACGGATATAGTAGGCTCGGGATAAGAAATACACATCCGGGCTTCTCACAAGGTAACTAAGTGACCGCGAGCCGTGCGTTCACCGCTCCTGTGACCGATATATTTGAATATATTTCTGCTTGGTATATTTCACCCAAGAAATTTCTGTCTTCGGACCAGTGCCTTTAATTCAGACCCTGATATAAAGCAAAGGGCCGGTTTGTTGACATGGTGAGCCCCGACGTTTCATAGAGGCGAATACGTGACCGTTTTGCATAGGCCGGGGACTACGTTAGGATCGTCCCGAGGCAGGGTCCGTTGGATTGCTTGTGGGTTTATTCGTGCCATGAATGCATTGCCTCCGAAGACATTTGGCCATCCCCCGACACCCTCTCACGCCGTCGTCACCCAATTGGCCCCTGTTGACGACTGACCGCGACCAAATTCCGCAAGATGTGACTCGGCCTTTGACTAACACAAAGGTAGGCCTAAAGTGGGCAAGCACAAGAGAAATGGTAGATCCAATTCTCGAGCCAAAGTTTTCTCGAAAAAGCCCATGGGGGCAAGGTTTCTGGATGAGTCTGTGGTTATCTAACAAAGAGAAATAAAGACAGGCATTGACGACGATCCATCGTCTCGGTCGGAAGTCAGTGAGACATGGACAGCGCTTTCTCCGAAGTAAAAACGAGATATTCCCCGGCCCGTATTCGGAGCATTTACAAGTTGCGGTGCGTTGACGTGTCCAGTATGCAGCTAGAGAAGACGTCAAGATGCACAAGGGAATGGAGGAACAGATATGGGGCAAGGAATTTTCATGTTGAAAAACGACAAACGAGGATCCCTACATAATATAACGTGTCATTGCGTCAGAAGGACAAGGGGATGACTGCTAAAGAGCAGTGCGATGCATCTCAGTCGTTCTACTGAGAGGAAACGAAGCCAAACGTACCTGCTCAGCAAACCAGCGCGATACAGTCA